CGACGTTCCAGCTGCCGCCGCCCTCAAAGAAGCCTCCAGAAGTGCCACTGAGCCATCCACGTTTCTACCCTATGGTGAGTCACCACCATAGTTCGGTGACTCACTGAGGGCCATTCCATTACCCGGTCCGATGAACGTCTCGACAAGGCTATAAAGCCTCGGTTCGCCTGAAAACAGCGGAGGAAAGCAAGAACAGAGAACAAAAAAAAGGAAAAAAAACATAAAGCAAACCACAAAACAAAAATAGAAGAGCAAGAGAAACTTACCGGGAAAGACAACACCTCGATCGGAGTCACCACCAGCCTCCAAGCGTCACCAAAAACCTTCAAAAACCGAATGTATTTTCCTAGATTTGCTCCGATCGGGAGCCATTTAAGAGAAAGGAACTCCGGAACCGTCATTAGGACGGTCCGATCTACGTTTTGGTATAAAAATAAAATTTTCCGGCCACCGGATGCGGTGGCCGGCGGTGGGGGGCGACAGACGGCTGTCGGCCGATGACCGACTTCCCTCTGGTGAGGGAAGCTAGAGAGAAGTGAGAGAGAATTCTCTTCTCTCTCAGTTAAAGAGAAAAGAGAAATAAGAGAAATGGAAACGCTGGCCCTTCGGGCCAGCTGGAAGGGGAGTATATACCCCTTCCCAAACGATGTCATTTTGGGAAGGGGTATATCCGTAATTTCACTTTTGGCCAAACCCTTTCCGCAGCCATCTTAGTTTTGTAACATTCCATTTTAGTCACTGAAATCAAATTCTAAATGTTTTAATTTGGTCTTCTAATTTTGTTTACTTTATAATTTAATCACTAATATGTTTATATAAATATTTTAGATAAAATATGGATTTAGTCCTTTAATTTTAATAATTAATATTTTAATCCCGAGTACATATTTTTAATTTATTTTAATCTGATATTCAAATTTAATATAATTTTATTTTAGTCACCAAATTAATAAATGGATAAAATAACATGTTTAATCCCTGTAATTTTAAATAATTAATTACGAATTAGGTATTTAATTCTATTAAGTTATAATTTAGTCACTAATTTCAATTTTTATAAGTTTTATTTATTTTAAATATATAGTTTTAATTTTGTTCATTATATGTTAATTTTATATGTTTACTTTTAATTATTATTACTATTATTATTATTATTTAGCCATAAATATATATATTTATAATATTTATTTTATTTATTAAAATCTTATTTAATTACTTTTAACTTATTTTGATCTTGTTTTAATATTTATTTATTTTTCAATATTAAGAAAGGGCAGTCTTAAAATAACTGGATGTCCATTTTCTAATATTTTTAAATAAATAAATATCCTATTTTATAAATTCTATATTAATTGTTTTAATTATTTATTTATTTTTTAATATCGAGAAAAAGAGCTGTCTTAAGGCACCTAGAAGTCATTTTCTGATATTTCTAAATAAATAAATATTTTATTTATAAATATATAAATTAATATATATTTTTCATAATTATAATTTTAAAATTATAGGATTATAAATTAAATATATTTTGAATTTTTAATTTTTAATAAAAGAACTGTCTTAAGGCACCTAGAAGTCTTTTTCTGATATTTCTAAATAAATAAATATTTTATTTATAAATATATAAATTAATATATATTTTTCATAATTATAATTTTAAAATAATAGGATTATAAATTAAATATATTTTGAAGTTTTAATTTCTAATAATAAGAGACAATTTATAATTAAAAAGTACCAATTTTGGGCGTTGTAGGGTGCTAATCCTTCCTTAAACGTAACCGACCACGAATCCCTTTTTATTATTAAAAATAATGAATTTTTGGTTAAAACGCAGATCAGTTTATCTTTTAATCGATGTTTTCTTAAAAACTCTTTTAAAAGATGATTTTTTAGGTATTCGACCTACCTAACCCAAAAGGCCGATGGCGACTCCCAAAATATTTTTTTTTTAAAAATAAAAATTATTAATTTATTCACATCACTTTTCCTGCCAAGTAAAAATTCGTGTCCGGACGAAAACCGGTTACGATAGTGGTCGTGGGCGTTCTAAGGTTCAATGTCAGCTTTGTGGGAAACTTGGACATCTCGTTGATCGGTATCGCTTTGATCAATCTTTTTCAAGAGTTGGGGCAACTGTTGTAATGGGTGGTGAGTCCACTTCGATTCGGTCTCCTGGGTGAATGTTTGTGCATTCACGCAAAATTCATCGAGTAATGTGTGCTCAGGTTGCTCGTGTGTTAAGGGCACCAACTCCCATGGTACTGTTTTGATTGGTAATTCTGGTCGGGGGAGTCAAGGTGATTGCGAGCCAATCAACTCTCATGGATCTTGGTTTGTTGAATCGGGAGCCATACACCATGTCACCGCTGATGCGGCAGTTTTGGAGGATGGCGATGGTAAAGGATTACCTATTGGTCGTTCTCATTTGTCTACTTCTCGTACTCTTTCTTTAACTGATTTACTAAATGTTTCGCATATCACTAAGAATTTAATTTCGTTGTCAAAGCTGGTTAGAGATAATGCTGTGTACTTGAAATTTCTAGCGGATCGTTGCATTGTTCATGATGCTGGTTCTGGAGTTGCTTTACTTGAAAGACATGAGAAGGATGATTTATATGTTTTTGATTCGATGTTAGATATTTTGCGTGATCATGTTTTTGCTTCTAATGTTGTGAGTGTTGCTAGTGAAACTTATTATTTATGGCATAGATGATTAGGACATCGACTCATGAGGTTTTGTTGAAAGCTAGACGTTCTTGTAATGTGGGTTTCACCAATATTTTAAATAAGAGTGTTTGTGTTACATGTCAAATGAGTAAAAGTGAACGATTACCATTTGGAGATTCACATACTCAATATAGTGATCTTTTCAATTGATTTTTATTGATCTTTGGGGCTAACCTCATATATCGTTCAATGGGTTTAAGTATTATATTTCTTTTGTGGATGCATATGCTCGTCATGTGTGGGTATTCTTGCTTCGGGATAAGGCTCAAGCTTTGGAGGCTTTTTGCATGTTTCAGAAGATGGTTCAAACTCAATTTGATGATAGTATCAAAGAGGTGCAAAGTGATTGGAGTGGTGAGTTTCGGAGCTTGTCCAAAGTGCTTCAACGTGATGGTATTCTCCCCATAGGGTTACATGTACTCGTACGTCACAACAAAATGACATTGTTCAACGTACGCATCGCCACATTGTTGATAGGACTCTGATACCATATTAAATTTTAGGGTTTTTCATTATTTATGTGAACAGTACTCTACTTTTCATTAACCACAAACAAGGTTTTTAAACAGCACTTCACCAACCAGTAAATGTCAGGTGGATAACAACTCTAACAAATAAAAGAATAATTCTAGAATATGTAGGTATCATGCAAACGAGTACTCCACTCAAACCTGACGCAAATATACACACACTAATATTGAGCCTACGCAGAAACAATGCAACTAAAAGAGAACTGACATTGGTGTAGAGTCGGGCAAGACCTTCATTGCCAAGCAATGAACACGGCCATGAACAGGGATGGACCTATTATATTAATACAATTAGTGCTCCCAAAATACCATTCCTTCTATTCTGAACTCCATGACCCAATATTTCACCTACATCTGCTGTGAAAGTCCATGATCAAGTGTTGCATTGTTAAGCATTTATATTGTACGAAACAATTAAAGTTTTACATTTGATCCATCAATGCAAAAGAACAAAACTTAGAATCCGGTATTAAGCTTGTCTTTTTGTTGCATATATTTGTGTCTATCAACGGAAATGCTTCGATTGCTTCCTTTTGTGCCGGTGGAGTTTCGTATCGGTTCGTATCATTATTGACATATAATGTAAAATTGTCTCGACCAATTTGTTATTTTTAAAACTTAAGTGGAAAAAATCAAAAACTTGCTCAAATTATACTGGTCATTTGTGTAGTTTATCCTTTTTAATTTTATATATTCGTTATCCTCGGTGTCCATATCTTAATTAAATAAAAGCGAAAGTGACTAAATATTATGTTTTTAAATTCAATGAGAAAAAGTGTACAAAATTTAAACGAAAGTGATCAACTATATAATTTACCTAGAATGTATACAAGGTAATATCTATTAAGTATTTTTAACGATTTGACAATAAAAACTATTTTTTTTTTTAAATTGACAATAAACACTCGTTCCCCTAATATATGTGATGCTTGAACCTAAGACCTCAAAGGATTACAACAAACTCCTTAACCATAAAGATGACTTAGTTTGTTTTTATTTATGTCTATTTACTAGGGGTGTTCAATCGGTCTGTTTGGTTAACTGATAGAGTTTAGGGTTTAGAGAACTTTCGAAAACTTATTAACTAAATTTTTTTCGCTTTAACCGTTAATTAAAGTGAAATTTTTTCGAAAATAATTAACAGAATCAAACAAAGTTCTGTTAATCGGTCGATTAATCCAGTTAAAACCAAAATTTAAACACTCCTAAAGATATTAATATATAAATAATATATTAAAAATTAAAAAAAATGGTTAATTAACTAATTTCAAACCAAATTAACCGATAACCGAACTTTGAAAAAAATTATTAACCGTTAACCGACCGAACCTAAAATTAAACTACCGATTAACCAATAGAATTTTGATTCGATCGGTTTAATCGATTAATCGAAAATTTGAAAACCCCTATTATTTAAATATAAAATTTATTTTGTTATATGTACGTCCATTCCAAAAAATAATCCTTAATCTAAAACTATTCCTCAATCTGTGAAATATTACAATAATACAATTCACTTATTAAAGAATTAAGTTATTGTATCAAGCATCATGTTAAAAATTTCAACTATAAATACTGAACACAACTTAATTAAGCACTCTTTTACAAGCTCTTTTTTTATCTAATATTTCTAGAATTAAAATATTTATAGGGTTAATTAAGAATTAAAATTATTTTAGGGTGACAAATAGAATAAAACTTTAATATGGTTACTGAAAAATATAATTATTTGGCACATCGCTACAAGCAGCTTGAAGGTTGAATAAAACCAGAAGCAGTTCCATCAGCATAACTACATGATGCTTCAGCCGGTTTGTTCCTGTAAGTGAGCTTCACGTCCTCCAGCTTTATATCAGTGCAAGGATAGGTTGGGCTACAATCAAACTTCACTGCTACTTCCGTCGCGGATGTTCCGTGGATGTCTTGGTACGTAACATCGCTGATTTTAACACCCGAAACCTGAGACGAATGGTTTAATTAATTATTCTTCAGAGCCAGCTTGGACCAAACACGATAACTAATTCGATTGATTGACGAACCATATGTACCTGGCCGGGGCAATTCTTTTCGTCGGGGCAGTAGTGTTGATCGATGACTATCGGATTTTCGACGTCCGTCATGATTGCGTGCTGAAAAAGTATGTTCCTAGCGAAACCGGAGCTAGGTCTCCCCCATGACTTTATTCTCACACCGTTTTGAGTACCGGTAAATGTAGCGGTTTTAACTGTCACATTTCGAACACCGGGTTCTTCGGCTTCCTTCCCAAGACTCCCAATGCTGCTCCAATGTCCAACCATATTAATTCAGAGATATAGCTAAATATACAAGTGATGTTCAATCGTTAATTACCTTATCCCATGGCCAGGCCCACATGCGACGTTCTCGATCCATAGATTGTTGGTGCCGGGGCCAACCGAGACACAATCATCGCCCGTTCCGATTCTGGAGTTGAGAATGATGACATCGCTCGAGGCTTGCACGTGAATGCCGTCGGTGTTTGGGCTGTTGCCGGAGGCAGACACTCGTAAACTGTCCACTTTTACGTTGTTGCAACCATTGATGACAATATGGTACAATTGGCTGTTTACCGATGTTAATCCTCTTATTACAATGTTCATTGAATTGCTGAATACTAACGACTGCAAAGTCAAAACAATAATTTGCAAATTGTATTATATAACGTTGATTAATAGCTGATATAAATAAACCATATGCAAAACTCACCGTGGCTCCACTGGGACACCCCTTGCCTGATCTCTTGCAAGCCCACAAGCCAGTGCCTTGACCATCAAGTATCCCGCCATAAACCGAAACCCCTTTTACATGCTCAAAGAGAAGCCAGTTTCCGGTACTTCCGAGAAGGTTATAATCCGACGGAGCGACGAATGTACCGTCTATACGAAATACAATAGCATTATTCTTGCACCGTCCACGGAAAATGGCGTTGCGCAGCAAAAACCTCCCCGGCGGGACGTAAATGGTTGCTGGTTTGATCGAGCCGCAGGCCAAAGTCCATGCAGCAACCATGGCTTTGGTTGAGTCCAAATGTCCATCCGGTTTGGCTCCATAATTAAGAACATTGTACGTACTGTAAGTCAATGGAACAGCTACCCCGTATGAAGGGAAGACAAGAAGAACAAATGCAAGAAAAAGAATACAAGTGGTTGTCTGTTCCATTTTTGAGGGATGAGAAGACACAAGTGCTGAAAGGGGTATTTATAAATTAGGGTTTAGGTCTAATTTGAAATGCATGCAGAGTTGCAACTTATCATTGATTGTCGGATAAGCAAACTTGGTGACGCCGCAATGTTTGATCTGTTTTTGCCGATTACTTGGGGTTTTGTCTTTGCATGTGGCCATGCATGCATGCAGCCGTTAGCTTTTTTTTTTTTTTTTAATAGAAAAAAGTATGCATATCATGAGAACAATGCAAATCAATAACAGATTTATGAAGTAAAAATCATAATCTTGTTGAAAAGATGGATTTTTTTTTAGGAAAAGAAAGGTGATTATGTGTAAGTAATCTCCAGATAAAAAAAATGCTTACAAAATTAGTTAAACAGATCAAGAAATGAGTGATGGGCAAGTTTCAATATCATATTACGGGGATTATTATCGAAATAGCAGTTATTATATAATTATAGCAATATAGTCCGAAATTATTAGAAGATTGTGATATTCATAACGATAGTAATAGCATCCATTATGTTCACAATTATAATAAACGCAACCGTAATTTATATCCATGGATATTACTCGAATTAAGGTTTAAATATCAGACATGATTATATATCCAGCACGAATTTTACTAGATTTTAAAAGTTTTTCATATATTCAAAGGATCTTTGAAGATCATGTATCCATATCTAAGTGTCATACATGAATATCAAATGCAAATACTTCATAAAAAAATGAGAGGTCCGAACCAATAATACTATTGAAGGAGATTCAGGAGGATAAAATGATATATAATTTAGTATATATTTCCCTTTAACTGCATTAGCGTATATGTTATGTAGCCATCAAATCAAGAAAAACATATCGTAAACGATTGGTTGAAGAGATATGAGCAGAAAATAAGGAATATGAGATGGATGTTGCTTAAGATGGAAGATTCCCAGTTTTCCAGGGTGGGTTAGCTCTTAGTAGTTAAATATACGAGATAAGATTCATTCAATATATTTATATAGGGATATATTGAGAGGAATTGACCAAAACGATTATTATTTAAATCTTTTTATAATTTATATTTATATATATGATATAAGAAAACAAGGAATGGTGTTTTCATAGAGTTATCGTGAGTAGGTAGCAAAAAGCATGTGGGAGTACGCAACGGAGGGCGTCAGCATGGCTGGCACCATCGCCCACCTACCGAATTTCATGTTTCCTGCTGCTCGGTTACCTTGTGACTTGTGCACTACGCTTTGCCTTAGCTTTAAGCTTAAGAATGCGAACAACAACAATGCCTTGTTTCTATCTCATAATTCTAAACTTTAAGCTCAACAAAATTCCCACAAATGAAGTAATAGAAAAAGGGATATGCACTCCCAATTATTGCAAGAAGGCAGGCAAAGGTACCTGTTTTTAAGGATTCCATGTTTTTGTTTCTGGAACTGGAAGCATAAACATGTCATTTTAATTAATGTTCAGAAATGGGGGTTTGCTTTCAGGAATTTCACTTGTGTTGGTAGGAATACATTTGTCTGTTGATATTTCATCCTTTTTTATCAGTGTAAAAATGACTATTAGTCAATATTTTTCTCTCAGACAGATCAAATTATAAGGAGAAGATAACAGTCAAGATGGATTCCTTTCTTCAGTCAAGGATGAAGTGTATATAGTGATCGATCTTAACTGATTGTATCAAACATAGGATAATTATAGCTATTAGTAGGTTTTGCATGTTAAATAGATGTGGTAGTCAAATCTTGAATTTCGTTACGATAAGTCATGTGAGTTTGTAAAAAAACTTGTCTATGCATAATAGTTGACTCCGAAGTTATAATACTCTTATACCTGAAGAATATCGATTCCTTGAAAGTTTCGATGATCGAAAGAATTTGTCCAGAGACCTTAACCGGCAGAAGGCTGGCATTTTTTGGAGACGATCTCTAGAGGTATAACAATATGTTATAAGTTGAATTATAGTGGGATATTGTTTAGCAGATCAATCTTACAATTATTTCTTCTGCTTAATGAAAGAAATAGATAAATAAATAAATAAATTGGCCAGAAACATTACAGTGTGCTGCCTTCAAGCAAGAATGGTTTGTGTAGTAGTCTGTGAAATACATGAAAAGAATATGGATGGCATGGATTGCTAAAAAAACATAAAGAAGCCACAACAACTTTTAACAAATCAAAACCAATGGTCCCGACATCTCGAACTCCCATGCTCCTTTTAGTATTTTACATCTTCAAGTTGTGAGTAAAAATGGAATGGAATTTAGTCAGGCTCCCCTCCAGTTGTTGCCTATATATGTTCCTACAGACACTCGCTTCTAGTAGCTTCAAAGGCTTTAATGTCAGTGCCTCGAATCGTCGTTCGACTCCGAGGTGCTGTTGTGCTTCCTAAGACTACCTCCTCCTTGGCTTTTCTTGTTTGTGTTTGATTTCGAGCCGATGCGGACCGTCTTTGCCGAGAAGCAGTGACGCACGCGGACATGATGGCTTTTCGTTTCTGTCGAACAACTCCCATATGTGACCACTGTCAATACCACCTCCTTATCCCGGGTGTCTTCACACCACCAGTTCTGCGGGATGCCATCGACAAGATCCTCGAGTGTATGGAATTCCTCGTGATGGACTGCGACCTCAGCAAACGAATCTGGTTTGACTATGCCAGAAGCTGGTGTAACCTATGTCAAAAACAGCATCACACAGTTCACAAGTCTATATGACATAACAGAGTACACTCCACTGTAGGCTTGGGATTAGTTGCAGATACCTCGAGCCAGCGCGGGAAGCCGAAGGCGCCTCTCGGATGGTACTCGACTACATCCTCCTCATCCTTGGCGGTGGACTGACCATCACAAAGGATTCTATATAAAGCTTTATCCTTGTCGCATTTGTTTGTGATTCGGAGGATCGATGTGTCTTGGTTTTGCAGGACGATGTTGTTGGTGCTAATAACTGTTTCCGGAACGAAACGTAATCCGTCGAGTATAGCCTTAATTTTCCGATTCGACTGCATCACTTCCCCGAATGCATGTCTCCTTACTGATCTATCTACATGCGCAACTGTAATATGGAATTTGCACCTTACAGGTTTATGGTCGCTCTCGGTAACGTCCATGCAAGCCTCGTACCTGATCATTACACATTCATTGCAGTTGCACATCAGAAAGATCCATAAGCAGCGGCACAACATAACACTTTGTGAACATACTTACAGTATAATGGAGGAAACTATAGGACACTCTAAACTGCACTCGCCCGTCGGTCCGGCCCTGTTATCACGATATATCACTCGGTCACACCATGCAGGAATACGCTTCTTTTCTCCCGAATCATAACCTTAAATGATATAACAAAGTGATTGAATTATGTAAGTCAAGCCGATAGAAACCGAGAAATCAAGGTTGTTGTATGTACCTGCCAAGCCTGGGCGGTGCCTTTCGAACTTGTAGGTCGGAGGGAATCGGATAATGGCCTCATGCATTCCTTGGAAAACCTTACCGGCTTTCATCTCCGCCCTGAGCTGATCCTTTTCTCGAAGCCAATCGAAGCATCTTTGAGAAACAAAGTCCCTAGCTTCATCATAAGATATACCAAAGAGGCGGTAGTTAAAATCGCCACAAAAGACAACCATGTCTGCTTCTGCTAAATCAAGCTTTGTTTCTTCAGTGTTAGCACCAGCAGGCTGTTGAAAATGCAGTAGTACTTGTGATCTCAAAGCAGCTAAGTACTTAGGGAAGGTAAACTAAGATATATATGATAAAGATATCGAATGGAATCAAGCAGAGCGAGGGTATACATTATTGACCCGAGCCGTTTGAACAGAAGCTGATGCTCCAGCTGCAACACAGAGCACGAGTGGCAAGCCAGAAGAATAAAGCAGCCAAAATAAATATGTGCAGAACGCAAGAGAGCAACAGAAAAACAGTAATCGCACCATACCAGCTGCATTATTGAGTAGATTTGACGACCGGGTGAAGGCCATATTTCGAAAGATATGATCAAAGTCGGCATTTCGTCGGTTTACTGCCTCCAAGTGTGCAGCTAAGTGACAGTTAACAAAGCATATTAACCGGTCATGCACTCTGATCCTCAAACCTACACCTCCCTGCAGTTGCAGACGCATTAATTCCTATGTTCTAAACCATGAAAATCAAAGTTATCAAAGTGGAAAAAAACCTTATTGCCGATAGCTCGACCAAAGCCACATGGGACCGCCGCAGCATCGATGTCCCCAACATGCATTCTAAGATTCTTCCTTACCCTATATATAGAAGATAAAGATAGCTTCATTAAATCGAATTCGACAAATGTTATGTTGAGGTAAATGGCCACTTACCAAAGAGAAATCAGTAGTCCTGCAAGCTGCCTAGAACCCATTCGTTCAAATGTTGTGTTTTCATCTAAGGCCTTTCCAATTGTGTCAAGCCACCAATGCCCAATAGAACTCCCTTCAAGTCCTACCTACACTTAGATACAAGAGGTTAACGAGCAGACCTCATTTTGTCAAATAAGAACATTTTCGACGGCATGGTATCGTATTATATGATGTTATAGATCTTACGGTTTCTTTAGCTGCAGACATTGCGAGAAAACCAGCACCCATTTCCACTTCTTGTAAGCCAACAACAACAATGCCAACATCTGATGCAACAGAACCCAACCATGACATAAGTGACTCCTGAGAGGCTCTTCCTTGACCGACATTCCATGTTCCAACAAGCATCCTTATGTTGTCTTGTCTCGAGTAGATGTGTTCTTTTTCCGATAGTTCTTGTCGAAATATGCCATCGATTGGCCCCGGAGATGAGACGTTCCATCCCCGTATACCACCGTGCGTAGCCAAGCTGAAGATGTATTTGTTGCTGGTTGTTAATTTTATGACTGGACCATTGTGAGCTATCCATCCTGCAACCAGGTTCCCCTCAAGATCCATCACCTGGACCATCCCACTAACATAGCCTACATAAATCCGTGTTCCGAAAACACAAAAGCATTGTACTGCACAAGGGTGGTGGCTAACATCTTGCAACCGAGTTCCATTCCCATCCCACTGCACAAGTAGGCCATTCGTACATCCACTCCATATGCTCCCATCCGGAGCAAGCACTAGCGCTTCGGTCCTCTTATTGTCTTCCGCAAACGCTCCGGCTCCTCTCGTTGCCACCCTACGGACGGCGTCCGCCGCTCCCATTATAGCATTTCGGGAACGTTGCAAAAAGCCTCCGGACTTCTCCTTTTTCGTACCGGAAACAACTTTCACCTTCACCTCATCTTCCACGACGCCCTGTTGATCTTGCGATGGTATGTCAACACGATTTTCAATCTGACCATCGATGTTAAAGACTTTGAGAAGATCCTTGGTTCGAGCATCCCTGCAGATCAAGTAAACTCAACAATGGAAATCGAAAAGCATGTTATAAATGCATATCATAGGCCAAACCAAACGTACCATAGAGAGAAGGAAAGAGGCTGAACACACCAAACTTTGGCTCTTACATGATCAGAAACCAAGTACTTGATGTCGGAGGAAGAGAGATTACAGTTGCCATTAACAGTAACTTGGCTCCTGAGGTCAATGAATGCCCTTTCTACCAATAAAGCAGCCATGTGTTTCTCCTCTGGTCTAAGAGAAAGAGATTTTTCAATGGATTCCCATGGCCAAATCTTAATAACGCCGCCTTCTCCACCTGACCACAAGTCACCTGCAACAAAGCATGATGCTTAAATGTTGTATTTTTTTTGTAATATAGAGGAGGAAAAGCTTAATCTCTTGATTAATATAACATAGTTTACCATAGGAGCTCATGACAATGGAAAGAACTGAACCACGATGCGCCTGCCATGACAAGCCTTCTTTGAACGGAGTAGTATCATCTGTAGGAAGATCCATCTTCCACGACCGGATTTTGCCATCCTTGTGGCCACTCCAAACCAATTTGTTTCCACCGTCGACCAGCAAACAGATTGTGGGTGGAGTGTTGGCGGACTCTTGAAAAGGCGCGGCGTCTTCGTCGCCTCTTCGAACTTTGGAACCGAAGCCAGGCTGATAAGCATCCTCGAACCTCCAGAATCGAACCCCGCTCTCTTGGCCTGCCCAAAGCTGAGTATCGGTACAAGCAATGTTCCTCAAGAACTTTCCTACTTGAGTCTCCCTTAGAGGATGCGGTCTAAGCTCCAAGCAAGGTGGGCGCCTGGGATGAACGGTGGCACGCATTGGGACCTTGAAAATACCGGTGCCACCTCCGGAACCAATGAACTCCGGAAGAGGATGGAAAGGCTGGAAAGTCTGGGAATCATCGACGGTAGCACAACTGCCTTCCAAGGACAAGTTCTTGTCGAGCCTTTCCCTTTGAGAATGACTAGTGATAATATATTCTTCACCAGAGGCATTGGGAGCATTGTTGGAAGTGGAGTGATTGAAGAACTCGTCGTCGGAAGACTCGTCGTTGAAGTAGTCCGGCGGCTTGGAGATTTCATCGAGGCTGTGCTTACGGACATGACGGTGACGCTTGTAGGCGGAGTTGGCACGTAGCTGCTGGCTGTAGGAATGGATCTTCCGTTGGGGAGGCGGGACGGAGCTGAGGCCGGCGAGGGCATCTCGGTCCTTATCGTCGTCATGGATGGTATGTTCATCCATAATTAAACAAAAAAATGATCTGTGGTTTAGCAGTAGTAGATATGTTGATGAAAAAAGATGGAGGGAGAATTAATTCGGATCAGGAAGACAAAAAAATGAAAGATGAAAAGCGCAAAGTGTAGGGAGACACCGGAAAGGGAGGATGGATCTCGTTAAGTGAGAGCGAAGGGTGAGGCGATTGAGGCGGGACATTTCTATTTATGAAATCAGATAATTAAGGACACTACAAAGAATGTTTCTTCATTTCTTGCCTTTCTTTTACCTGCAATATCTCCATCTGCATGCATTCTTTTGCCTTGTCAAATATCTCCATTTGCTTCATCTCCTGTCATGGATCTTAATATTTCCATCATCCTTTGTTTTATATGTTGTTTTTTTTGTTGGACTTTCATATTCATCTTGTACTTCATCACTTACAGCAAATCGACTTTCATATTCATATTTTTAAAATCACAATCTAATTATTTAATTAAAGTATTTAGACAAATAAATTATTTTATCGTTAAAATTAAAATACATATCCAATGTGACATAGTATACTAATCATTTAAGTTCATAATTTTTTTTTTTACATTTTATGAATTTAATCTTAATTTAAAACAATATAATGTATTTAACATTTCTAATTTGCATGAACCAATGATCTCAATGGTTAAAGGATTATTGTTATCTCCAGGGCCAGCCCAATACATGTGCCTGATGGGCGACGGCTCAGGGCAGCATGTAGGGTCGGGACATCAGTTTCTAATATTTAACAAGCATGCAAGTATGATATCTTGACTGTATTTTAAATAAACGACAAATAATATGCCGCCCTAATAAATCAAACAGTTTGCTACCATCTGCAAGAAATACCTAACAGACAATGCATCACATATAGGCCACAAAAGATGCAGGTTACATTATAGAGCTCAATTAGTTTTCTAGTCACTTGAACTTAAGACATCTAACCCTTTTCCGAAAAAATAAAAACATGATGCATGCTATGATATTATTAAAGTGGACGATGCCGAAGTGGTGACAACCGCAGCAGAGGCGCCAGTACCTGTGAAGAGACGGAGGCCAAGAGAAAGGAAGGTTCCCGCTACTCCATTTTCTAGAGCATTTGGGTAAATTGTGTGTATTTCTTTTAATGTTTTATCATTTATTGCTATTGCTAAATTATTTGTTCCTTTTTTGCTACTTTTCTAACTAGTTATTTGTTTAACATCAAAAGCTTTCTTCATTAGGAGTTGGTCTTGCTTGGGGAACAGTTCAGGAATATGCCAAGAGGCTTGTTTATGGTTCTCCAAACTCAAATGAAAAGCAGTCTGCTGTTTCACCGTTCTTGTCCGAAAAAAATTATCATCCTTGTTTTTAACTCTAGACGTGAATTCAAGTTGAATTCACAGTAAAATGATTGGCTTTTGTGGAGAAAGAACAGAACTTGTCATATCATATAATTCCTTCCTATGTTTTGTCTACTATACGGTAAGGGCATAAAATTATTATCTCGCCCAGGGCATTAAAATTCATTGGACCGGCCCTGGTTATCTCTTGATGTCTTGGATTTGAACACCGCATATGCATAGGTGTACTAGTATTTATTGTCAAATGGTTGAGACTTCTTTAAACAAATATTACATTGTATTAAAAAATCCACAAATTTACTAATTTATTGAGTGCTTTGAAATAAGATCAAATTTATAGAATGTATAAATTTTGAAGGCTAAAATTGTTATTCTACAAGATCGTATCGTTAATCAAATTAATATTTAACGATCAATGACATATTTATAATAGTACTTTCATTGAATAACTAAATTGTAACTTTTAAAGAAAAATAATGACCTGTTTATAACCGAACTAATAATTGAATGACCTAGAGTTTATTATATCCTTTAAAAGTAACAAATAAAATAGAAAAGGTGACCATAACCAACTTGAATATGGAACTTTTAATACAAATGAGAGCTAAATGTAAAAGATCTGTAATCCACCAATAGAAATAAAATAAACAGGATTATTTCATATTACAAAAGAAAATACAAGATTTTAAACAATGTAGTAACATGAACTATCATGTGCAAAGTGTTCCGGTTCAGATGAACATTGCAAATGAAATTAATTACCCTTGATCTTGAGCCAACGACCGTTATCACAATTCATAGGGAGGACTTGCCTGCAGCTCTTTTCCATCTTCCAAGCTTCTCTCTTCCCTGATCAACAAGGTACTCTCATTTCCTTGGGCCACATGCACCGGGCCGTCTTTGAATGCCTACTGACTTTCAAGGATTTTTCATCGGAATATATGCCACCCCAGGTTCAAACCCAAGACCGAATTCAAGACCCCAGGTTTGAACGTGGAGAGGCGCATATTCGGGTGACAATCTCTCCAAGAACTGGGTTAGGAATCCAAAGAGGACAATACTGACTTATAGGCACGACATCACCAAAGAAGATGAGAGAACCTTGTTTGTCGGCTGGTCTTAACAAAGTCCATTTTCCTTTTCCTCCTCCATCTTCCATTTTTCTCTCTTTACTTTTATTCACCAGAGATACAAGATGCTCGATCGGAAAATCTAATATAAACCATTTCCCTTCCGAAGTTATAGAGAAATGATATTGAACATCCAAAAAGCCTCAAGTCAAGTCTAATAAAAAAAACACCAGTCCAAATGGACTTAAATCAATCAAAGAAATTATTTAGCCTATAAATCCCTTATAGCGTTTATTTTTTTCCCTTCAAAAAAGAAGAGAGAGAACTGATTTTCTTTTGACAAATATGAATGACGACCCATAAATGTGTCTTATTTCTATTCAAAAAGGTATAGAAGAGAAAAAAATCAACCAGTCTACAAGAAGACTAGTTAGCGGTAGCCTTAAGTATATACTTTATAATGGCGTTGCATAAGGATTGATCAACAAAGTCCCCATCCTCACCTCCGCTAAAGGTGTTATCTTATATACTGTGGAACCATCTAACTGGTTTATTCAGCGTCGGAGCCACATATAGTTGAGGGTGGGAAATCCGAATTTTCTTCGGTTAGTTCCTTATTTTACTGATGGTACCCAACCTGAAATTTTATATGTGCCTACCCCATTCAAAAATTGTGTTGTTACTTGTTAGCATGTGTGTCTACCCTAAAAAATATTTCTGGATCTACCATTGGGTTTGTTACTGTTCTTTTTTTTTATAAGAATGAAAGGCCTCGTTAAAAACCCCCTTCTTGATTAATGGAGTTTTAGATTAAACTCTTTAATCAACGGAAAGAGGAAAAGAGTGTCTTATAACTTTTATTGATACTGAAAAATTACATAAGATTTAACAATTACACTAAAATTCAGTACATAAAACTTAAACACTCCAACTGCCATAAAAATCTTCTCACTGGACCAAAAAAGCCACAGTTGAACCTATACAGTCAACCTATCCCTTTCTTTGCTAAATTGTCTGCCTCTCCATTGCACGCCCTTGGAATTAACCTCACTGAATGAACCTTTCCCGTGATAAGAGTAGAAATCTGATAAACTAGATGCAATAAAAAACTGGAGCCAAAACCGGGGACTGAATCCATTCCACTGCAGACGAACAATCACTCTCAACGATCAACCTACCAGCAGACTCCAACGTGATGACAAAAAAATTTCAATGCCTCTTTTTATAGCTTTTAATTCAGCAAGTGGAGGAGTTCCTTGACCAACATTCTCTGAAAAAATCAAAAGGTACAGCAATTCCAATCTCTTAATATACCTCCAATTCCTCCACCCGAACCATCAAGCCTAACAGCTCCGTCGACATTCAAATTGTAATATTCAGTGCACGTTATTCAAATTCGAATTACAGCTTCATATGAGGTACAGTATAGCTTTTGCAACCTCAGACAGAGAAGTTTTTTGAGTAAAAAGTAGAAACAAGTTAACATACCTTTCTACCTTTGATGGCCAATTCATTATCAACAATGGATATTGCCTTAAACCCCATTGGATGCAACACCTCTTCATAGCTGCATGATTACAAAGTTCCCAACAGATTGAGATGGACCACAATATTTGTGTGTGTGTATATATGCCCCTATTCAATCAAGATTTTACTAGCAATGGCGCGGAAACAGAATTAGAAAATACTTCTAACGTAATCTGGATAAAAGAAGGGGAAAAGGTGGCAGAAAACTACTCTTCAATTGCTACTTTATAAGGAGGTCCACCAGCATGATCGTCCATCTGCCATCAAGGAATTATATTTTTTACTTTCAGCAACACTATAAAGAGTAGAAGAGCAAAACTACACTTCAATTACCATAAATTGTGCAGAATGATTTTTTTACAGCAATAGCTACTTATAATTGATAAAGAAGAACTGAACTGAAAAACAATGGTCCCTCAATGAGGAGATGAGGAAAGGGAAGAACTCATAAAACCACACAAAAAAACACTTACTGGAAACATCAATGAAATAAGCTCTCCGTCTGGTTTTAGGAGGTTATGAACTTGCTGCGCCCATGCTGGTCTCATATCAGGCTCAATGGCACAAAAAAAAACTGCAAATTCATAAGATTGTGGTGATCGAGAGATTTTCCTAATGGGATAGGTGCCCTCTTAAAGATGACCTACGTGTAATCAAAAATAAGATCAAACAAATCTGTTGGGCGCCAGGAGAAAAAATCTTCCTTCAAGAAAGTAAAATAATCTGCATTTGGTACCGAGCAAGACATCTATATTGCCAACCAAACATAACATTAAAATAAGCAATTCTCCAGAAAGACTAAAACTAGCAAAAATAACTAAAATCAGAGCAACTGATACCATTCTAAGGAACTTGTTAAAGTGGGAGGAGTGCAAACAGGGATGGACCGAGGGGGTGCTAGGGACGGTTGCACCGTGGAAATTTCAAATTCCTATATAATTTCTCACCCCCTTAAATTTTGTAATTTCGTACCCTCTAAATTTCTTATATACTTCCGAAAGGTTTGCACCCCGACGTAAAATTTGCATCCGTCCCTGAACGCGCAGACCTCACTAACCTGCTTTGCTTTCTTTAAACACTCCTCTGATA